CTGGGCGAGCATAATTCCACTTGAAGTATTAACCAAAACCAATCACACTTTTTGGTGTCGTGCGAGAGCTAACCCCACAACGCCATAGTTGAGATAATTCTCAAATTTGTAAGAAAAAGCATAATCATAATTATTTCCTAAGTAAAGACAAATCGACAAATATATACGAAAAATAGAATTTCATTTCCTTGAAAAAAGTAAACACATTGAAATAGGCAACTCAACCATTTTTATATTTGTATTATTTCACTTCACATTTGTATTCATAAAAATAAATTTCTTGATAGCATGGTCGACTTTTGTAGTCGCCAGTTAGTTGAGGGTGCGTTTGGCGGAGCGGAAACACAACGACACCATTTTGTAAATGCCGCGTAGCTTTTGGAAGACGCGTCTGGGGGTGTTTGGAAAATCTCGTCGCAATTAATAGATTAATGCGGGCCGCAAGTCTCACCCCGAGGTTTGCGTTTCTCTTCTTTACTTCCCACGCTTGCCCCTTCACAGAGCCTTGCCTCGGCCTTTCGTGCGCTCCTCCTCCCTGGCGTGGGTTTTGAAAGATGAAGCTCCTCTTCGTAGAGCATTGCCTTAGCCTCTCGCTTGCTCCTCTTCTCTTCAACCAGCCTTTTCTGTCTTCTTCATTCGTAGGTAGAGGAGGTAAACATTTCCATCATCATCAACATTTCCATCATCATCAATCAACATTTTCTTCTTCTTCTTGAAGTTTCTGCTTTTAAAATTTCTCTTAGCTTCTTCTTAGGTGTAAGTATGAAAGTTTCGGTGTGCAATTTGTAAACACTAGCAGTTTGGGTAAGCTTGAAGGTGTTTGTGATTGGATGCAATGTTTACAATTTGACATTACGGCTTAGGCTTTAAATACATTCATGAACAAGTTGTACATGATGTTGTGTGGGCATTGCTCAATGTGTTTCAGTTTATGAAGATCCGCAAGGGTGGCCTTTCTTGGTGATATTCACATATGGCACAAGTTGTGGGTTACCCGTTGGTGTTGCATGTGAATTCATAATAAAAACAACTGAGGTTCTAACCTGCTATCGGTGCATCGATATATGAGGATCTATTGGATGATCTTTTTTTGGTGATAAGCACACGTGCCACTGGACGTTTGTCCCATGTGGGTTAAAGACAACCGAGAACTCATTTTTTAAGAAGGTTTATTGTGTGCATATGTGACAGACTCGTTGGTTGGCTTAGTTACTTCTCTGAGGCCTCTTACCTGTTTCTTTTTTTTTGCTTTGTATTTAACATATTTATATTCGGTATATTTTTGGAATTAAAAATTTCACGGTATATTTTTTTGTTTAATTTTTTTCGTGGGCTTGTTAGATATATGTTGATATTGCCTATTTTTTTACTCATATTTTTGTTTCGTATTTTCAAATTCAACATGTTTTTTTATTTAATCTATTATTTTGACTGAAGTGCTCTCTCTTGAATAATTATAGAAAGATGAGGTACAGGTTCTCGGGGAACTCAGGGCGAGTGTTTTGCCGCTGCGGGCAGCCTTCTTTGTTACTCACGTCACTCAAGCCACATAGCTAAGAGCGGCAGTTCTATTAGTGCGCGTGGTGGGCAGAATGACCGGACGACTGTAAGTTCTTCTGGTGGACAGGCAGTCCGTCCGATTCTACGACATCTCAACCGAAGAACGTCGCTTGTGGTTCGATAGTTTCCCAACCGAACAATGTTGCTCGGGGTTCGATAGTGTCCCAATTGGACAACGTTGCTTGTGACATGCTTCTTTTGCAGTTTAGAATGAATATTATCATCCTTTTATTAAATATAATTTCAATATGTTTTTTATTTTTATTAGGTGTCTTGATACTCACTTTTAAGTGAGATGTATATCATAATTTTGTACTATTATGAAGTGATTTTTTTTCATAAATGTTAAATGTGTAGTTGTTACAGTTCTGGTGCAAACAACAACACTGCGCAGTGCTAGAACTGTTATTTATCCAAAAAACCTGCAAATATGCTATTTTCCAAATACACAAACCAAACATGTAAGTAGCTTATCCAGATCAGGGGCAGAATGATCATTTATCCGGAAATAACTATTTTCCAAACGCACAAACCAAACAGCCAACCAACTTATCAGGATAAGCTGCTGATCAATAAATTATCAGAATAAACTGTTTATCTGGATAAACTGTTATTTCCCCAAATAAACCCTAAATCTTGAGGTCTGCCTCTGATCACCCTCCTTTGAATCAAGATGTCTTCTTCAACAAGGATCCAAATTGGAGAGTGATTGACTAATATTAGGGGGAGAAGGAGGGGGAGGGGTTGCCGCAAAGTGGACAAAGGTAGTAGGTTGCTTAGCCACTTGCTCGAACGTTCAATAATAATGTTAAACCACTAGCAAATGCCTTTCTAATTAGGTAGTTTACTAATACAACTGAAAAATCAAGTTGGTGGCACTAACACTATTTCTTATCACCTACTCGCTATTTGGCTATGCCTTAGACCCAGGGTTGAACACAAAAGATGAGAGGGTTGCTGGAAAGAACACCCCAACATAATTCTCTTCCTGGCGTATCCACCTTTGGGATCAAGCGAACTCCAAGCCATCAACTTCAAAACATCAACAACTTGACATTCTAAACCAGCGAACAAGAAGTTCATCCTTTTGCATACCAACAAAAAAAAAAGTTTAAAGGTAGGAAGTAGACGAGTAGAAGGCAGTCGACTTGTCTTTGCCCTCTTTTCCAACCTCTTCACTTGGAATTCGCAACTATGCCACTATTATTATTTTTGAACTCATCTCAGGTCCTTTCTCTAGAATAAAAAGGGACCCCTGATATTTGTAGCAAGATAAGACAATAAAACCGATGGGAGTATTAAATGTCACGTTAATAGCGTAGAATAGCTTGCTATGAGCATTATGACTAAAACCAGTTGATGTTTCTTCTAATTAGGTAGTTTACAAATACAACTGAAAAATCAAGTTGGTGGCACTAACACTATTTCTTATCACCTACTCGCTATTTGGCTATGCCTTAGACCCAGGGTTGAACACAAAAGATGAGAGGGTTGCTGGAAAGAACACCCCAACATAATTCTCTTCCTGGTGTATCCACCTTTGGGATCAAGCGAACTCCAAGCCATCAACTTCAAAACATCAACAACTTGACATTCTAAACCAGCGAACAAGAAGTTCATCCTTTTGCATACCAACAAAAAAAAAGTTTAAAGATAGGAAATAGACGAGTAGAAGGCAGTCGACTTGTCTTTGCCACTATTATTATTTTTGAACTCATCTCAGGTCCTTTCTCTAGAATAAAAAGGGACCCCTGATATTTGTAGCAAGATAAGACAATAAAACCGATGGGAGTATTAAATGTCACATTAATAGCGTAGAATAGCTTGCTATGAGCATTATGACTAAAACCAGTTGATGTTTCTTTTAGGTATTCCCTACATTCAGAATATCCTTGTTCTCTTGGTTGTTCTCTTGGTCGAATGTCATCATGATCTTATTCTACATTCGGGGAACTCGACCAACGAACATTCACATAATTTCATATGAAATTTCAATCTCATATCATGTGCTAGATTGCAGCATGTGAATCACCTAAGGTCTAGTCATTTGACTTAAGGGACCCTAATATTTGTGATTCTTATTTTTTAAGTACAAAAGCATCAAAATACGGTCTTCATTCAACTATGAATCTATAATACTTTATTTTATTCTCTCTGTAATGCTCAAACATTACAAAAGCTCTCTACCTTCCACTCTCAAAATGCAAGTCAAGCCTTGGACGCTTTTCTGCCCTATTTGTTATAAGATCCGCAATGAGTAATGTGAGTCACCCCAATAACATGCCTAAATGATTACTTCCATAAAAATAACCATAAAATTCACTGAATAATTGTAGCCTAAGGCACAACCCTCCAAAGGCTACGACTTAACCCAGAGATCATAGATGGTATGAGTAGTGTAAGACTTGAACCAGGCCTATTACTTGTAAAAAGAATTCTATAATTGAGAAAAAAAAAAAAAACATTTGCCTTGCAAACTCTTAAATATCAATCCTATGATTTTGTTCATGATTCTAATAGTTCGTCCAATAAGATATATCTTCCCTTTTGCTTTCTCAACGAGAGACGACTCGGTTGCATTTTTCTCATATCTCCGCAAAGTCCGAATTTGATAAGGATTATATATAAAAATTTACAGAATGCCATACATGCTACACTTTAAATTTAAAGTATTTGTATAGTTGATTGTCACTCATAATAATAGTTGCTTCGCATAAGGATATTTCCAACAATTCAGAAGAAAGAAAAACAAACAATCCACAGAGAACAAAAAGATAAGAATGTGCGTTCATTTCATCAAAAAAAATAAAAAAATAAAAATAAAAATGGGTGAGAGGGGTTTGCAAAACAAGCCACATTATAAATTCATTGAACCCCCTCGCTCCGCTCATCACTATCACTTTCCCCCTCAGACTTGGTAAGCAATTTTCAAATATTCTTATGCTTGATCATTTCGAGGAGAGCACATTATTTCTCACCAAGCATTCCTGACACTAGAGAACACCATTTTTGAACTTTCGTTGGCGGTTGAGCCTCCGAACAGTGTCTCAGCGGAGTGTGTTTCAAAGAGGTTTCTTCCCAAAAGTGCCCTAAAGAGGGCCACCATCCAACTGAAGTTCAAGAATGGTGTTCTTTACTGCCTGAAATGTTTGCCGACGTATTATAAATTGGATATTATTATATTCAGTCTATGTTATATTATTTGTTATATTAATTTCAAGTATTTTTTTTCCTTTAATCTTACATTTAACTGACTTAAATAGACATTATAAATTTGATTACTCATGAAACAAAAATTGAAATGTGAATTTGCAGAAAATTTACACTCCAAACGACACCAATTAAGTAAAGAAGTCTTTGTTTTAGTATGGAGAAAATGTATAAAATATGTTACTAGACTCAAACTAACTCACAAAATTGATAACCAAGTTTGTTTTCAGGTATTCATCACCGAGTTCTCAGAGAATGTTGGACTGAACAAGCATCTTATTTCTGTAAATATTTTAAGTACTAATTCTGAGAAGCTCTGTGAATGTCATAAGACTCATGTTGATAATTGTATTGTTCTGAGATTTGTTTTCAGTCATTTTCTTCAATTAGTCAGAAATGACCAGGACTTTAGTGGATTCCTTCATTCATTATCTGGTTCAAGTGACATAGATAAAATGATTCCAGAGATATCCTTGGATGTTTCTCTGAAATTGATCAGCATCCCCTTCATTTTTTCAGCTCCACTTATTATTCAAGCACATCTTATTCTCTTAGCTTCTAGATGTATTAGTACTCATCTTCCTATTGATGGTGGAAAGTCAGATACTCCATTAACGAGTTGTTACATCAACCCATTTGAACTGTCAGCCAATTTGTACTTGTCCTACTTATCTACTTTGCAACTTGATGGTGATATTTTAGGAACCAATGGTAGATCAAATCTCGGTGACTCAAGCGGTCATAAAATGAACTTGGATAGACACACTCATCAAGCATACTTCGTTGATTTCTCCCACCTATACTCTGAGGATATTCTCTCTGGCACTAAATCACAAGTTATTGCATATTCTGCTTCTTATATACGAGGGGATCACCCTTTAATAGATAGATTGTGTCAGGAAGCAACTTATTTGGTTGTAGATCACATGATTAAGAGCATCATTCCAATGGAAGCATGGGAACAGCGACGGAATGAAAATGAAGAAAGGATTCGACAAGAAGTTTACTGTCTTGCTGCAGCAATGAAATTAATGAATTCCTCTCTTCTAAATATTTTATGGATTTTGAGACAAACGGGATCTCACAATGAAATGAAGGCATTGAGAGTGAGCTTACTCAGTAAGGCATTTAAATGTCTCTCTCAATCAGTTAGTATTATTCGCATTGGTGGGTGTAGAACAGACCAAAAAGTTCAAAATGTTTTATATAACATGTTTGGAGCTTATGGTGGAATGCATCAGGAGATAAAGTTTATGTTGATGCATATTTCAAGCTTCTTAGTTTTCAGTTTTAAGAGAAAATTTGATTTCTTATGGAAGGGTTGTATTTCGATGATGATGACATTAATGAATCTTCTTCTATTGGAAGAGGGAAATCTTGGTTTGTCAAAAATATTTAAGCTCCTTGAGAATTCTCAGAGTTTGGATTTTGAGGTACCTTTGTTTCCCAGTATACTTTCATCTTCACTTTAATTTTCATTTTTCCTATTGTACTGGTAGCTATAGTAGGTTAAATAAATATTTGCAGGGCCTGACTTACAGAAATACAAATGTGATAATAGCCAGAAACTTGGAAAAAACTCGGATGCTTTACTTGAAAACTGAAATTAAATATGTACATGTTGAAGATAACAGGTGTGTTGCTACTATTTTTCTTTTTTTTTTGTGCTTCTTTTATAATTCATCCTTTTTTTTTGCATTGTAAGTTGTTTAACTCGATAAATTGATATATACATTTTGTTTATAGTTGATTGTTGATGACTTCGTTTTGTTAGTTGCCATTAACAAATATTCTTGCTTGTTTCTCAAATAGCTGAAGGAATAGAATGATATTTATATTCTTATCAAAATTTTGTCAGAATGAATTTTTAAATTCTTAGATTAGCATTGAATGAGTGCCATATAATAGCTCCTTGATTACTTATATATTAGACCCATCTTTAACTAAATTCAACGGTTATAAAATTTATCCTGATAGTCCAATGTCTTATCTAGTTAAGGGGTCCAGGCTTTCTAGTAGAGGTGTTGCACATAATGGGTTTGGATGAATTTGGTAAATCAATTAAGTTGAATCAAATTATAGGCAGTACCGAACTGGCCAATTAGTATGTAGAACCAAACCAAACCAAACTGAAATATAGTTTAATTTATTTGTTTAGTTTTAGTTTAAGCAAATTCAAAATCAAATTGGATGAATTGGTTGATGGATGTGCCAATCGAATTGAAATGATTCAAATTATAAGTATAACTAAGATTTAGAGTAATAATAATATTAATTAAAGTTAGTGAACATTTAAAAAAAGAGGGTTGATTTGACAGTCACACAAATTGGAGAAAAAATTACAAGAAAATATTTTTTAAAATATCCATGCTATGTACCTGGGCAATGTTTTGCAAGTTGCTATGTTATCCTCCCTGGAGATGTTTACAGCCTTGGATGTATGAGATCGAAGGCATTATTATAGAAGGAGACAATGCAAATGTGATCCCTTCCTTTCGGAAAGCATGAAGTCTAAGTGTCAGCAGCAACAACTTGGCAGGAACTCTGATATTGCTTTTCTGGTGGACTATAATGAACTCCTTTTCTTCTTTGTCCATAAAATTTGTAATAAAGCCACCCATTTTTGTGCCAAGCATGCTTTAGATAGTTCATTTTTTGGGGGGCTCACACTTGCACCCTGATTTTTTGAACGTGGTTGAGGAAGATGCCAATCATGCCTTTTATAGCTACTTTTTTATTTTGTTTAATGCAAAATGCACATCCTTCAAGGAGATGCTAGTGTTGCTTATTGGAGTGATGAGCCTTAAACATGTGTAAGCTTTGCTACATGCATTGGAGCAATGAGCTTTACATGCAAATAACAAGATAACTTGAGTAACTTGCTGCTAATATATAAATTTAAAAGGCTATGGCAATGCAAAAAAATAATCAATAGAAAGAAAACAATATTAATATATCAAAGTAGCTTGTCTAGTTAGCGCTTCAATATAACAAAAGAACTTATCAAAATGAGTTATTGCTAGAGAGGCATAAGGAAAAATATAGTAACTCTCCTCCATATTGTTATGATTCAATCCTAGGTTTGTCTCATCAGAAACCAATTCACCAAGTTTGTGATTCATTTGTAAAATTTGCCAAGTCTACAAAAGAACATTAATCATAGAAGTTATTAGATGTATTGAAAGCCGAGTTTTGAAAAATACCTTCCACATCATTAATATTCTTTTCAACGTTTACTAAACTGGTTGTATATTACATTCACATCCGATTTTTGATTATATGTTTGAGCTTGCACAATCTCTGACGATAAATAGCTTTTGAATGCATCAAGAAATTTGAAGTGTTGTTGATTTAATGAGTCAAAATTTAGAAAGTTATCACATAAGCAAAAGGGAAATTACCAAAATTCTACATGATGCTACATATGCTGTAATTTGCATGCTTGATTTGACAGAGAGAAAGAGTCATTGATTTTGTTGGTGACCTTTTGAGTTATTGGTAATTGATGCACAGGCTTCTCTAGCCACATTTCTTTGGAATGAAAGCTACTAGTTATCCACATGTTGACTAGCTTGGTTGAAGTGTTTCTGCTATAAGCTCATTTTTTGTTTTGAGGGAGAATTTGTTCAACTTAAAATGTTGTTGATTTAAAGAATAAAAATTTAGAAATTTGTTATATAAGCAAAAGGGAAAGTACGAAAATTCCACATGGAGCTTCATCTGCTGAAATTTGGCTTGATTTGAGAGAGAGTGTGTCATTATTCTTGATGATGACCTTTTGAGTTATTGGTATGCATAAGTTTCTCCAACCACATTTCATTGGAATGAAAGCTACTAGCAATCCACATGTTGACTAGCTTGTCTGATGTGTTTCTGCTCCATAAGTTCTTTTTTTTTGGTTTTGAGGCAGAATTTATTCAATTTAAAGTGTTGTTGATTTAATGAATCAAAATTTAGTAAGTTATCAAATAAGCAAAAGGGAAAGTACCAAAATTCTACATAATGTTACATTTGCTGTAATTTGCATGCTTGATTTGAGAGAGAGAGAGGGGGAGTCATTATTCTTGATGATGACCTTTTGAGTTATTGGTAATTGATGCACGGGCTTATCATATAAGCCAAAGGGAAAGTACCAGAATTCTACGTGGTGCTACATCAGCTATAATTTGTATGCTTGATTCGAGAGAGAGAGAGTCATTATTCTTGATGATGACCTTTTGAATTATTAGTAATTGATGCACGGGCTTCTCCAACCACATTTCTTTGGATTGAAAGCTACTGGCAATCCACATGTTGACTAGCTTGTCTGAAGTGTTTCTGCTCCATAAGCTCTTTTTTTGTTTTAAGAGAGAATCTATTTAATTTAAAATGTTGTTGATTTAAAGAATAAAAAATTAGAAGTTATTATATAAGCAAAAGGGAATGTACCAGAGTACTACATGGTGCTACATCTGCTGTAATTTGCATGCTTGATTTGAGAGAGAGAGAGTCATTGTTTTTGTTGATGACCTTTTGAGTTATTGGTAATTGATGCACAGGCTTATCATATAAGCCAAAGGGAAAGTACCATAATTCTACGTGGTGCTACATCTGCTGTAATTTGTATGCTTGATTCGAGAGAGAGAGAGTCATTATTCTTGATGATGACCTTTTGAATTATTGGTAATTGATGCACGGGCTTCTCCAGCCACATTTCTTTGGAATGAAAGCTACTGGCAATCCACATGTTGACTAGCTTATTGAGTCATTATTCTTGATGATGACCTTTTGAATTATTAGTAATTGATGCACGGGCTTCTCCAACCACATTTCTTTGGATTGAAAGCTACTGGCAATCCACATGTTGACTAGCTTGTCTGAAGTGTTTCTGCTCCATAAGCTCTTTTTTTGTTTTAAGAGAGAATCTATTTAATTTAAAATGTTGTTGATTTAAAGAATAAAAAATTAGAAGTTATTATATAAGCAAAAGGGAATGTACCAGAGTACTACATGGTGCTACATCTGCTGTAATTTGCATGCTTGATTTGAGAGAGAGAGAGTCATTGTTTTTGTTGATGACCTTTTGAGTTATTGGTAATTGATGCATGGGCTTCTCCAACCACATATCTTTGGATTGAAAGCTTCTAGCAATCCACATGATGACTAGCTTGTCTGAAGTGTTTCTGTTCCATAAGCTCTTTTTTCTTTTTGAGAGAATTTATTCAATTTAAAGTGTTGTTGATTTAAAGAATAATGATTTAAAGAATAAAAATTTAGAAAGTTGCTATATAAGGAAAAGGGAAAGTACCATAATTCTACATGGTGCTACATCTGTTGTAATCTGCATGCTTGATTTGAGAGAGAGAGAGAGAGTCGTTGTTCTTGATGATGACCTTTTGAGTTATTGGTAATTGATTTATAGGCTTCTCCAGCCACATTTTTTTGGAATGAAAGCTACTAGCAATCCACATGCTGACTAGCGTGTCTGAAGTGTTTTTGCTCCATAACCTTTTTTTTTTGTTTTGAGAGCGAATTTATTAAATTTAAAATGTTGTTGATTTAAAGAAAAAAAATTTAGACTGTTATTGTATAAGAAAAAGGGTAAGTACTAAAGTTCTACATGGTGCTACATCTGCTGTAATTTGCATGCTTGATTTGTGAGAGAGAGAGGTAGAGAGAGAGAGAGTCCTTCTTGATGATGACCTTTTGAGTTTTTGGTAATTGATGCAGAGGCTTCTCTAGTCACATTTCTTTGGAATGAAAGCTACTAGTAATCCACCTGACTATTTTGTATGAAGTATTTGTGCTCTATAAGCTCCTTTTTTTTGTTTTTAGAGATAATTTATTCAATTTAAAGTGTTGTTGATTTAAAGAATCAAAATTTAGAAAGTTATCATATAAGCAAAAGGAAAAGCACCAAAATCCTAGATGGTGCTACATATGTTGTAATTTGCATGCTCGATTTGAGAGAGAGAGAGAGAGTCATTGTTCTTCAAGATGACCTTTTGAGTTATTGGAAGTTGATGCACAAGCTTCTTTGGCCACATTTCTTTGGAATGAAAGCTACTAGCAATCTATATGTTGACTAGCTTGTCTGAAGTGTTCCTGCTCCATAAGCTTCTTTTTTTTTGTTTTATGATTACATCACTCTCCACTACTTAATGGTGATAGAACACTTGATTGGATGGTGGAGCTCCTTCCATTATCTTTAGCTTTTTCTCTACTAATCTTGTTGGTGGCAAGCTTCTCACTTTCTTAAAGAGCTATAGGAACCTCTACAAAACTTGTTAGTTCCTTAAATCTTAGTATTGTCCAACATAGGAAAATTAAAAGACACACAACGTTCAAAAATAGGTCAAGTATTGATGCAAAGTTTTAGCTTCTCTAAGAAGTGTAACGTAGGAGAGGGGAAAGTCTTTTTTATTATAGATTTTTTCCCCAATATAACATTACTTTTGTAGTTTTCTATAATGAATAACATCCCTTTCCATAAAAATGGATTCTCCAAAATAATGTAATCTACATTTTAGGGAATGACCTCTGAAAGTTATCTAATATATGAAGTTCTTAATAAATGCAAATCTGAAGGCACGTTATTGAGTAACCTTGTACTCACCACTTCTTTTTACTCTCTGTCATATGGTGTTGATTTTGGGATTGGGGCTTTTCTTGATCTCAACTTTGCACCAATACTGCAACGATTTTTTTTTTAGGATTTTGTGGTCTAAAACGATTGTAATGAAGATCATTTGAATTTATGCGGTTAGGTGATAGAGATTCTTATTTGCTTCCTCCCAACCCATCCTTTTTTATTAAAAAAAAACTTAATTTTATAACCAACCTATGAAATGGGTTCAACAGAAGCAATTCTGTAGAATTTTCAGAAGTTATTTATATAGCTAACATAGAATTTTACATTTGAAGATGACGCGAAATAATCAAAATAGTTTTATGTCTGGTTTAAAAACTTCCAAATTCTCATTGGGTTCATTTACAATAGTAGTCATAATATTTTAACTTTTTGGCTCCCTCATGTTTCCAACAATTTTGGTTGTGCCCCCTTAATTTGCAATTTGTAAAAAAAGGCATATTATAAATATTTTTTAGAAATCCTCTTAGTTTTTTTTAGCTTGATTTTTTTATCTTTTGCCATAAGATTGGGTTTTTTTTTTCTCTACAATTGCAATGACCATGACAATTGAGACTTTAATAGAATATGCTAGAAAGCGCTCAATTTTTTATTGAGGCCCCTCATTCAATCTTGTATCATACTTGACAATGGCAAACTTTTCTTCCATAGCTATATCTAATGAAAATACTTGCCTAATAAATTCATTAGTGGTATCTTGCACCAAGTGTTTGTGTCTCTATCTCCAATGGTGCCATCGCATCTGCTCTACTTCCTCATGGTTGATGCGATGGAATTGTACCTAGAGTTGCCCTTAAACCGTGGTCATGCCATTTTGGACAATCATAGTTCTTGGACTACGAAATTTAGTACATGAGAGCATGCATGATAGTTTGAGATGAGCAAATAATGTACCCTATGTATTTCTATACTTATAGAGAGAAATGCTAATCTTAGGATCTTGAATAAGTTTTCAACATTGTTTGATTTGATAAAACCATCATGTTGAGATATTCCTAACTTGACATCTACCTCAAATGGGATGGGTGCCTTGGGTATCTACTATCATCATTCTCATATCCATATGAAATATCTCACGCACCCTCATCCTCTCCTTAAGGAATATGAGTCCTTTTTTTAGGACTATTGATGTCAATAACTTTTCATTTTTGAGGAGCATATTTATCTTATAATGCCATCAACTTGTTGATATTGGTTATCATTCCTACTAATGTGTAAAAAACACTCTTTATTCATCTTGAGTGAGATATTTTGGGTTGCTCTTATGTTGTTGTTGACACAATAGCTTTGGATTGGGTTAGTCACTCTTATTTTTATCATTGGAAAAATGAAAACCTCACTTTCGTTAGGCTAGTTCTGGCATTTATGATGCTAATTTAGTGTCCAAAACCACGGGAGCTTACCATTCAACATAGTGAATAGGATTAGAAGGTTGTTTTTGCTTTTAGGAATAACAATGACTTTTGCTCAAGGATAAGGGAGAGCTTCAACACATCATACCCAAGATAATTGAATTTTTACCCCAATAAGGGAGTACTCTAAATGAAATTGTTAAGATCTTTAACCATGAATTGGAGTTTCATTGGAACCATGTTTATAATCAGTGAGAATAATTGGATGCTTGAGGGTTTTGAAGAGAGATAAGGATTAATGTTATTAATTAATGAAGTTGAGAAAGTGACAGATTGATTTCTCCTTCAAAAAATATCTACTTTTGCTTTGATTAACTCTACTCTTAATGGAATCCTTTTTGTTGGAGCCTCCTTGATGACTCTTCTAAGATTGGAGAGATAAACTAAGTAAGGGAGTGAGGAGGGAAAAGGAGCTACTAGAAAAGAGAGAGGGGTCGGGAGGGGTTGGGCAGGTTTTATGGAGAATTATATTTATTCAAAAAACTTACAATACGAACTTAATTACAAAGATAGGGAATATAAAATAAATGCTATGAAAATTAAAGAGATAATTACTAAAACTCCTTATTTCATGTTGCAAAAGTACTCATATAAGTAGCCTTTTTTATTGATATATTTTCTCCTTTATTTAGATAAAAATAATCTTTAAATCAATACTTTTGTATGTCTGCCCTTTTCTTTGCATAAGTGGTTGGAAAATATTAAAATAATTTATTAAATTGTTTTCTCTTTTGGACTATGAGACATTTGACCGGACTTTGGTTTAGACTTTGACCTTACTTGGGCTTGAATTTAGGCATGACCTTGAGTTTGGTTGGGCTTGCTTAGTTATTGTTAGAGCTTCGTAGACCTTTGATAAAGTTATGGCCTTGCTTTTTCTCCTCAAGCTTTTACCTTTCCTCTTAATCTCATATCTCTCTTTCTCTCTCTTCTTAACTTACATTTGCTGTAATTTGCATACTTTTTAGAGCTTCGTAGATCTGGTGGCTAGAGTGTAACAATTGGTGGTCAAGTCATTAAAAAGAGCGAACATTTTAGATATTTCAGGTTTATTGTTCAAAGAGATGTTGATATAAATGGGGATGGTTGAATTGGAGGAATGCATCGGGCCTATTGTGTAATAAAAAAGTACTGCATAGACTTAATGGAAAATTTTTCAAAGTTGGAGGTGAAACCTACAATGCTTTATGGCGAAGATTGTTGGCCTTTAAAAGAGAAGCATAAAACTAAGTTGAGTTATGTTGAGATAAGAATGCTTAGGTGAACGAATGAGTTTACACTTAGAGACAAAAAGTGAAATGAATATATCCGTGAAATTGTTAGTGTAGCTTTAGTGACAAACAAAATTAGAGAGTCTTGGGTGTAGCTTTAGTGACAAACAAAATTAGAGAGAGTCTTCTTAGATGATTCAATCACATTAAACATCGACCATCTTATAATCCGGTTAGGAGAGTAGATGTTTTAGATTCGACTTAAAGTTAAGAAAGGTAGTGGTAGACCTAAAAAGAGTTGGGCATGTTGTATAAGAAATGATTATTTTGTTAGAATTAAAGTAAAATATGACACTCAATAGGACACAATGGAGAAAAATGATTCATGAAGCCGACCCCACTTAGTGGGATAAAGGCTTGCTGTTGCTATTGCATGTTTATCATTCTATGTTTTCAATGTAACACATTTAAGAAACTTCACGCGTAAGCCTCAAGCCCGTGTAAAACTACAAAGAAAGCTTTCATCAAATGTGTATTTTAATTTTTCTGTTGACATTAATATCAACTCAAAATTCAAATTTTGAGGTTTTAAAACTTTAGAGAGGAACTAGTCTAAATCCTTATTCATAGGCACGAGTAAAAAAACACTCCTCTGAAAAGTGAAAAGCAGCCAAAGCGAAGCAAATACAAGCATGTGAAAACCTAATATTATTAGTCAAAATTCTAAATCCTCAAGTACAGGATTGAAAGTACTGATTCCAGTTGAGCAAACGAATATTAAATCATAAGTTTTCACCATATGAAAAAGTAATGAAAGGCATTTTTAAATGTTCAATCTGAGAATCCTGAATTTTTCGCTAGCCTTTTGCACTTGTACATTCATGCTTGAATTTACTGCAACTTATGTAATAGGGGATATCAACCCAACACTTCTTTGCTATAGTACCTGCAGCAATGAGCTGCTAAACAATCAAAACTGTGTCATTTGTCATATTTTTAAGACATGTCGCTCATCTAATTCCCATTTTTGTTTTTTATTAGCTCATTTGGTATTTCTTTTAATCTATTACTCATCTCCAATAGATATTTGTTCGGAAGATCTACATACAGATCACTTAATTCCTATGTATTTACATATTTAACACCTAAGCTTTGTTTTTTCGTATATGCTACCTTCCTTACGAATGAAAATATGTATTTCACTTTTCAAAAGTTAAAATAGTAGTATTTTGCGTAAAGTTAAAATGGTAGTATTCTTTTATCTGATATGAAGGATTTTAGTGTAATAAATATATGAAGTAAAATTTAGATGTTAGATATGTAAATACGTGACAATTGTGTGGTATGTATGTAAATGCCCATCCCATCTATGTTTTATGAGTTGATTTTGGTTTCTGTAGGACTGATGCTGGCGAAAGAAATGCAAAAACCAAGAGATCAAGAAGCTGCAGTGTGGCGCATGAAAGCCAAGAGAACACATGCAATGGAGAGAGATTCATCAATTGTATTCCAAGCTATCACACAAATCCTTCGGAGTGGAAAGATTTAGTTGACTTCATCGAGTGCCGACCTGAGAAGGATTATTGTTCATGGTTGAAAAATCGAAACAAGTTTAACAAATGGAAGCAGGAAAAAAGTGTTCTTTTTAAGAGTCGGAAGAAGGAGAGAAAAGCCTGCATTAAAAAAAGCTTATAATTTAGCATCAATGAAGAGGGCTTTGATGTATCTCACAGGGAAAAATATTACATCAGGACTCCTAACGTAGAGCTACATTCGGAGTCCACTGATATACGTACACGTGGAGGTGACAGAAAAAAAAAAAATCATTTTAGCGCAGATGAATATTTCTCCTTACATCAGGACTCCTAACGTAGAGTTACATTCGGAGTCCACTGATATACGTACATGTGGAGGTGACAGAAAAAAAATCATTTTAGCGCAGAAGAATATTCCTCCTTGTGTTATTCCACATTATTCAGGTGTTTTGTGGTGATATTCATGTGTTATTGTGTTCTGGGAATATTTTCGGTGTTATAATAATAAAATAACACCTGAATAACGTGGAATAACACAGAAGAAATATTCTCCTATGATACCGGACCGAATCACAGGAAAGCGCGTGTGTTTCCTTGAAGCCACATGTCTACATATCAGTGGACTCTAAACGTAACTCGACGTTAGGAGTCCTGATGTAATATTTTTCCATCTCACATACGGTTTCTCAAGTTCTTTTAGGGGACAACTTTACTGTTTTTGCTTACTTTTCTTAGGGACTTTACATAAATATGCACAAATCTCATATATTTATATGTCTAATGCTCAAACTTTCATATTTACGCATATGACACTCAATTTCTTAGCATCACATAAAAAAGACCATAATTACTAACTTATTGTGAGTTATACATTGTTTTCATGCTTAGGTTTATGACATTAAGTGTCATAGTTGTAAATATCAATTTTTTGGTGTTAGATGTATAATTACAAAAAAAATTGTGGTATGTTTGTAAATTTACACTGGTGGCAGAAGGTAATGGTGGGACACATTAGCATTTGCTTCTTTGGGCATGCCAATGCATCATATTGGCCTTGATTAATGTCAGCAAAAGACAAATATATGCATCAAATTTGCTGGGCCTCCCTCATCTTTTCTGTAACATAAAATAAAATAAAAATGGCAAATATTCATTTGAATTTTAATAACATATTTTGGGTCAATTTTATAAACAAATAAAAAAAATTAATTTAAATTATTAAAAAGAAAGATAGAAGTTTCGTTTTAAAAGGTGTTAGAGATCAAATGTGAAGTTTTATTTTGGACATAAAAATATATATTTGTACCTAAGATTTTTAAGCTAGAAGTCATCATAAAAATGGGTTAAAATAGATGCACATGAAAAATATATACTTATATTAGACTCTTTGTACCTGAAAATTTTATACCATATTTTGTATATTCTGAAAAATAATTAAAATTTTATATGAATCTATATTTAGTAATGACCATTTTGAGATGCATATGCATTTCGGTGATTATAAATATTTAAACTTAATTTTTAAAAAGATTATTTTGTTTTTTAAAATAACTTATATTTTAACTATTATCATCCATGCTAATCTTGCCTTGTAGTTCGTTTTTTTTACTAAACGAGCGACTCCTCATTTATTGTCACAAAAAAAAATTTACAAAATCGGATAAAAGGTATCAAATCTCACCTAAAATGACTTAACCAAGAATAAAAAAACTAGGCCCCTTTCACTAAGAAGAAAAAAAAGATACAACACACACAACAAAGACCACTAACAAACAAACAACCCAACGATAACATAACTAACTATCCAACAGACAACCGATTAAGACCAATAGGAATCAACTTAGAAACAAAACTAGAAATACTTGAAACACCAAAATGAGCACACCAATTAGCCGCATGATTACCATCTCTCTTGGTATGGGACCACTAGACGCAAAGCTTTCTACTAATAGCAGCAATCTTCTTCATTTGAATCAAGATACTCCAATGAATATCATTAAAATTTTTGCAACATTTCCATAAAACCAAAGCATCAATTTCAATAATAACATGCTTCCAATTTAACTGCTTAGCCAACATAAGACAAAATAAAATTGCATCTGCTTCCGCAACAATGGGGGAGATAGTCACAAAAGGTGCAGCAAACCAACATAAAACCAGACCAAAACAGTCATGACAAACTCCTACAATTCTAGCCTTGTAACCTCTAGAAGAATTAAAAAAATCATAGATATTCCTATTAAAAATAACACATGAGAAATATTCTCCTGTGTTACCGAACCGAATCACAGGAAAGCGCGTGTTTCCTTGAAGCCACGTGTCTACATATCAGTGGACTCCAAACGTAGTGGACTCTAAACGTAACTCGACGTTAGGAGTCCTGATGTAATATTTTTCCATCTCACATACGGTTTCTCAAGTTCTTTTAGGGGACAACTTTACTGTTTTTGCTTACTTTTCTTAGGGACTTTACATAAATATGCACAAATCTCATATATTTATATGTCTAATGCTCAAACTTTCATATTTACGCATATGACACTCAATTTCTTAGCATCACATAAAAAAGACCATAATTACTAACTTATTGTGAGTTATACATTGTTTTCATGCTTAGGTTTATGACATTAAGTGTCATAGTTGTAAATATCAATTTTTTGGTGTTAGATGTATAATTACAAAAAAAAATTGTGGTATGTTTGTAAATTTACACTGGTGGCAGAAGGTAATGGTGGGACACATTAGCATTTGCTTCTTTGGGCATGCCAATGCATCATATTGGCCTTGATTAATGTCAGCAAAAGACAAATATATGCATCAAATTTGCTGGGCCTCCCTCATCTTTTCTGTAACATAAAATAAAATAAAAATGGCAAATATTCATTTGAATTTTAATAACATATTTTGGGTCAATTTTATAAACAAATAAAAAAAATTAATTTAAATTATTAAAAAGAAAGATAGAAGTTTCGTTTTAAAAGGTGTTAGAGATCAAATGTGAAGTTTTATTTTGGACATAAAAATATATATTTGTACCTAAGATTTTTAAGCTAGAAGTCATCATAAAAATGGGTTAAAATAGATACACATGAAAAATATATACTTATATTAGACTCTTTGTACCTGAAAATTTTATACCATATTTTGTATATTCTGAAAAATAATTAAAATTTTATATGAATCTATATTTAGTAATGACCATTTTGAGATGCATATGCATTTCGGTGATTATAAATATTTAAACTTAATTTTTAAAAAGATTATTTTGTTTTTTAAAATAACTTATATTTTAACTATTATCATCCATGCTATTCTTGCCTTGTAGTTCGTTTTTTTTACTAAACGTGCGACTCCTCATTTATTGTCACAAAAAAAAATTTACAAAATCGGATAAAAGGTATCAAATCTCACCTAAAATGACTTAACCAAGAATAAAAAAACTAGGCCCCTTTCACTAAGAAGAAAAAAAAGATACAACACACACAACAAAGACCACTAACAAACAAACAACCCAACGATAACATAACTAACTATCCAACAGACAACCGATTAAGACCAATAGGAATCAACTTAGAAACAAAACTAGAAATACTTGAAACACCAAAATGAGCACACCAATTAGCCGCATGATTACCATCTCTCTTGGTATGGGACCACTAGACGCAAAGCTTTCTACTAATAGCAGCAATCTTCTTCATTTGAATCAAGATACTCCAATGAATATCATTAAAATTTTTGCAACATTTCCATAAAACCAAAACATCAATTTCAATAATAACATGCTTCCAATTTAACTGCTTAGCCAACATAAGACAAAATAAAATTGCATCTGCTTCCGCAACATTGGGGGAGATAGTCACAAAAGGTGCAGCAAACCAACATAAAACCAGACCAAAACAGTCATGACAAACTCCTACAATTCTAGCCTTGTAACCTCTAGAAGAATTAAAAAAATCATAGATATTCCTATTAATTAACACTGCCGTTGTCGGTCCCAAGCCCGGATGAGAAAAGTGGAGGGTTGCGTTAGGTAGTCGACAGCCAGCGTAAAACTTGTCGAAAAAATCATGACATGAATCCTTTTGATCATTGTGTAAGTGCTAGGGCGTCCCCTGGAAGCGACGCGCTGTATAGCCTGAATACAGTGAAAAGTGTGCAAGGGCCGCTACACCGGCGCCCGGGTGTAGTGTTAAATAAGCAAGGGTTCCCACATTACGGGCGAATGCGGGTAAAGAAGTTAGTCCAT